AAAAAGCAGCTCTAGAAAACATTAGCAATTTAAAAAACCTCACAAAAGAAATCAAACTTTTTGAGGCAACTGGAAAGCGTAGCGAAAGTTTAGAAAGAATATACTCAACATAAATGACCATTAAGCCGACATCAATTGAATCAGAAAGGGCTTTTTCTGCCGCGGGTCTATTTATGAGAAAAATTCGTTCACGATTAAGTGACAAATCAATTGATTGTTTATGTTTTTTAAAACAATATTTCATTTTAAATAGTAATATAGATTAGCGTGCTAAGATAAATTTGTGTCAGAAACCGCTTGTTATTATATTAAAAATTATGCCGGGAAATCCCGGGATAAATAAGTTACACACCGGGAATCCCGGGATGCTAAATTTACGGGAAATGAGAAACCCTATTTTACATTGTTTATGTAATATATTAAACAACATAAATATAATTTTTGGATTATTTTTGCGAAAAAATAACATTAAACTTTCCAAAATCAGCAACTTTGTAATTTCTGCACGTTTGTACGAAAATTAAAGAAACCTTTGATATTTTATTGAATGTTAAAATATTAAACAATTTATTGCTGTTTATATATATTTTTTAACAAAACTATCTGTAATATTTCAAAAGTTATAACAATTTTAGTAACACCTCTTATGTAAATAATTCAAAAAAATAACAAGAATCCGTATGTCAACTTTAAAACAACCGTGACTTGTTCTATTCTCTACTGGAAAAACAAACCTAACATTTTCCCTTAATTATCAGAAGTTGCAACTGATTTTTTTGCTATTAAACTACAAATTGTTTGTCTGAAAAAGTTAACTTTGTGGAAGGAGGAGTAATCGATAGTAAACGCAATAGTCTTTCCGAGCAAATGCAGAGCGGTAATTTGGGCTAGAAGTAACAAAAAGAGTTTGTTCAAATATCATTCAAATCTTGTAATATTTTGTATAGTATACATAAAAACAAAGATAAAAAACTTAAATTTAAACAGTAGTTATGGGATTGCCTAAAAGCTCCTCAAATGAAAGATGCAAGTTCTGAGATTTCTATCAATTCTTATAATAAGTAGCGTTTAAAAGTCAAAGTTCTTTTTCAATACATTTGAAAAGGAACTTTGACTTTTAAACGCTACTTATTATCAGAATTGATACTTATTGATTGATACTTATTATAAGAAGCAGTTGAAAAAATAGTTATATTTTTAAATGTATTGTAAGAACAATTTAAAGTTATATTTTTTTATATATATTTTTTATATTTTTTATTTACTATTTTTAAATTTTTTTATATTTTTTTAACAGTTATATTTCTAAATATGTGTATTGTAAGAATAATTTAAAGTCAATAAAATATTTATTACAAAAACTTTTGATTTTCCGTGTTATTATAAAATTCACTTGATTTTTTAAAGATATATGTTTCTTCATTAATCAGCATAAAAATTAATTTTCGTTTATTTAGAAAAAAAAATTATTCAAACTTATTTTTATTAAAGTTGTTAATTCTTTGTTAACTGTTGTTGTTGTTAAAAAAGCAAGTAAAAAATGACAACAGATTTATCTTTAGAATTGTCTAGAAAACTTTTGGATACAGAAGATTAAGTGAAAATGATGCTGGAAAGGTACACTTTCTTACAGCTAAGCATCATTGCAGCTCTTTAGTCTATATTTTTGTTTATGTGTATAGCTAACAAGGTGTTGTTATTCATTTTAACTAAATCAAAAACGAAAAGATAATTAGCTGAATTATCTTTTTGTTTTATAGTCTTTAGTCAATTACAGATCAAATTGTTATGGGTCTACAACAATTAATTTAAGAAAATTAAGTGTTATAGAAATTAAATTAAAAAGTAATGTCATAAAAACAAAAAAAATTATCAATACCTGTTTTTAATAACTTGGCTTTCAAGGCAAATCTGAGAGGTGCAAAGGTTTAGCTTGGTTTATGTACTACATAATAAAATACATCGTTATAAAGTCATTTTGATGGTCGTAAATTTAATAAGCATACTCATTTTTATATATTTTTAGATTGTTTACCGTTTAACTGCTACTTTTAGATTGTTTATACTGCTGTTTTATTTATACATTATTTTCCTATGTTAAAACATATAAAAGACGTAGAAAATGCTTCTCTTTTATATTTACATCTAAAAGTGGTTTATGTCTCGATATCAGGAGGAGATTTTTTGTCATACTTTGTATGAAGAGCTATTATCATTTTCATTTAATGAAAACAGCTTTTCACATATGAAAAGCAGGAATACTATAGTGTAAAAAATATTATAGTATATTAATAAGTATGACAAAAAAATCTTTCAGAGGCCGAGAAAAAAACCTTTTTTAGATGTGCATAATTAATTAACAAATTTATGGCTTATCGATGTCAAAAAAAATGTCTTTCAGATATGCATAATTGACTGAAAAAAAGCCTTTTAAGGATGCATTTTTTTATGTCTTTTCATGACAATATTAGGATAAAAAAAGACGTGTTTTCGATGTCGAAAAAAGATGTCTTTTAGATTTGCATATCCGACTAAAAAAGACGTCTTAAAGCATCGTAAATAAGACTTTTAAAGACGTCTCTGCGACTTTTTTTTTTACCACTTGGTATTTTGCGGTTTTGTTGTCTGATTTTAATAACCCTAGTATCGGTTCACATTAGATTTAAGTATAGTTTTTTGCTTTAAAAATGTTCTAAGAGTGGTTGTATTAAATATAGAACAACAGAAATATATTTATTTTGATTATTTTGCTAAAAAGTAACAATAAATTTTTCATAACTGGCGATGTTCGTAATATAAACGCATTTATTTAAAAACCAAAAAAAGTTTTGGCGTATTATTAGATGTTGAAAAATAAAACATATTATTAGTATTTATTTTCATTTTACAGAACAAAATTATCTGTATTATTTCAAAAATCGTAAGAATCTTAATAATACCCCTTAAATTAACAGTTTGAAAAAATAACAAGAAGTCTTATGTCCAATCCTTTTTCAATAAAATAAAATGCCAAACATTAAAATATAATGTTATAGTAAAACATTAAAAAGAAAAACAAAGCATTTTTAAGAATCCAAGACCACTTGTTCCAAGCAACAAGAACAAAAATTGATATAAAAACATTGAAGAAAAAGATTACCAACATGAAGACAAGATTGAAAAAAAAGTCTAATATCCATTGAAATGGAAATAAGCCTATAGAGCTTTTAATGACTGAACTAAAACCTGCTAGTTTTTTAAATACAGAAAAGAGTAGCGTACCGTTTGGTCAACGTCATAAAATTTAAATAATTAGAATTCTGGAATATATATTCGGATAAACAATTTTTTTTGTAAGCATAACTAGTCTATAGTGTAATGTATATATATTTTCTAATCTTTTTGTTCTATTCAAATAAATCTTGAGAAAAATTTTTTTGGATTTTTTTTTTTTATCTCATTTTTTTGCATTTTTTTTGTACTTTTGACAAAACCTAAAACTTATAATATAAAATAATATAACAATATAAAATAAAAAACTAATTTACGAAACTTATATTCGTAATATATATATATATATATATATATATATATATATATATATATATATATATATATATATATATATATATATATATATATATATATATATATATATATATATATATATATATATAATAATAATAATAATAATAATACTAATAATAAGTGTGTCCTGCAAATCTAGACATTTGACTGACTGGTTTAATGAAAAAGTTCGATTTACGTGTTATAAAAGTGTCTACCCCAGAGACAGAATTAGCCACCGTAAAAGACGAAATTGTTTAAATAAAAAATATCCTAAAAAATTCTATCAACGATTGGCCTAAGCTATTTGAAAATAAAAAACTGCATTTGATTATCAAAAATTAATGCGTGGTTGTTATACCGGAGGCATTGTTCTCAATTTATAGTGCCTAAAAAGAAACAACTATTTCTGAGACGATTTATTTCACAGGTAGCAACAGCATTGAATCTTAAAGACAAAGATCCTCAAAAAAAATTTGTCGTTCAAAAAGAAGTCTTTCAACTGCCTGCCTTGAAAGAAAACCATCTAATCCAAAACTAATTTGTGATATTAGGTAAGATGGGTTCTGTCACTGGCCAGAAAAAAATGACAAAGGGGGAAGATGCAGAATATGTAACATGACCTATTCTTTTGTTTGCTCAAAATGTAAAATATTTTTTTGCTTGAACAAGAAAAGAAACTACTTTCATGTTCGATAAAATCAGAAAATACATAAAGTAATATTGTCAAAAGAATTTGTTTTAAAACTGCAACAGTCAATTATATTTTTTATTATCTCGTTAATAAATGTAAAATTCCTCAAACGTCTGATTTTTTCTACCAAAAATGGTTATTTTCAATACCTCTTTTCGGCGAAGTTGCAAATTTGCAACAAACTATGAAATGGTAACAATTATATATATATATATATATATATATATATATATATATATATATATATATATATATATATATATATAAAAATATATAATTTTTTTTATAACATGAAACCATACTTTTACAGAAATTTCATTAAAAAGTTTTTTCTAGCATTTTGATCATAATGTGCAGAGTAGAGGGTTAAACAAGACCCCTGTTCTATCTTCCTCAACACATAGTATTCCAAAACTGAAAAAAAGTGTTACTCTTAATTCAAATCAATATTCAGATTTTTTAAATGATTCAGTTGAATTAGAAAATTCATGTGACTTTAAAGTCACCCAAAATTCTCATTCGTCATTTCAAAGTGGATGCACCCAGCAATTCTAGTAGAGTAACTTTTCATTCTCTAAACTCTTCAGATAAGTCTGATCAGCTTAATAATTCATTTAGCTTAACAAGTAATGACTATAGTCATTACTTGTTGTGCTAAATATAGCAGAGTAAGTTATTTCCTTGTTGAAAATTTATAAATTTTTATTATATATTTAAATATATTGTGTTTTTTCATATTTACATTTACTTTGTAATTTAGAAACAAATAGTGCCTGATCACAAAATATATATTGACCATGTAAAATTCAGCAAATGCAACAAATCACATGATAAAAATAGATTTGCAAATGATCTTTTAGCTTCATTGGTGGAAGGCAATAGTTATTTGAGCAGTGTCAGTTTATCTGGCAAGTAAAGTCACAACAAAGTTGCAAAACCCAGAATTTGTTAATACCTTGTCAATGGTGTAATTGGTAACTAATTGTAGCAATTATTTTTTGCATTAAACAAAATAAATTAATATAAAATTAATCTTTTTTGTATTTTCAGCTAGTTCATGTGAGATACTAGAAGTGTCGCCGAAGGATGAGCGAACAACAATCAAGCTTAAATTAAACATTGCATCAAAAGTTAAAAAGATTTTATAAATGTACATTTCTGTCTTTTTTCTTAAACTAGTTCTTAAACCAGTGAACATTTTGTGCAAAACCTAACAGCTGGTGCTCTATTCTTAAATTCGACACACTTCCTATTTTGTATTATTTATAAACATAATACAATTTCCACCAATATACACTCTAAATAATTTTCCGTTAAGTAACGTAAAAATTTTATTAATTGGGAAAATATCTTATTTCTCGAAAATTTGAGATCTACAAAAACTGTGTCAACACATTTATTATATTTTCCGTTTAAATATTTGTTTTTAAAAGTTCGATGGAATGCCTTAACAAACATATTTGTGATTATACCATCACCGACACGAGAGCAATAGGCCCAACTTGTTGTCACACCAACCCAGAATTTTACGAAGTATGTTTTAAACTCAAGGGTAGCTTGGGATCCTAGCCTACTAATAAGAAGCAATAATTTATCTTGGAAAGGAACTTCATTTGTTTCTTTAAGAGCTGTTCTTAGCATTTTATACAAACTTGCTTCAATTTCTAAGTTTTTAACTTTTTTTTCTCAATTCTTTTTTTCATGCTTAGTATACATGCTTCATACAGAGTAACAATTTTTGTTGAAAATTGTATACCTCACAAAAGCATTTTTTAATTGAGGAGCTAGATCAGTCATAAACCATATAGGTTGTAAAGATCCAACTTCATTTTTTATTTTCTTGAAAAAAACTTTTATAAACTTTTCAGTTTCGTGGTTACCTAAAAATCCAAGCAATTGGCTGATCTCGACCAAACTCGTCCACAATCAAAAGGAAATTATAACTAGTTGTTTCAAATATTTATTTGCAACACAAACCATTTCTCTCAAAATTTTCTAGCATTTCTTTTTGCGCCTCTTTCTGGATTACAATGATAAAATCATCATCTTGAAATTCATGGTCACGTGATTGATGGCTTTGAATAAAAAGATTTTATCATTTACAGATTTTGAATTTAGTTCTTAAGTCTTTTGACTTAAAAACCATTATACAAGTAGAAGTTACTTTTTCATAACAGAATGAAAAAGTAACAAAATAGTAAAAAAAGCATGTGGCTAGTGAAATTAATAAGCATGAAAAGCTTATTTGCTTTTTATTTTTATTATTAATACCGTAAAATAATGTATATACCTTGAAGTTTGTAAAAGAGAATTGGGCTCCTATCCAGTTGCTTCCATTCTAGGATCCACGATAAAACACTCACTTGATCATTACTGTGTCTTTGCACTTCTTGTACTCCTAAGGCACGTCCAATATTTAAGATATCCTCATTTTCAAGTAAATAAACCCTTTGAAAGTTATCAATATCAAAAATAGTTGTAGGTAAGTCAAAAATAGTTGTAGGTAAAATTTATAAAAATAAGATTAAGAAGAAAGAACTTATATCATGCAGAATTTTATCGTGTTTTTTTCCTTGTTGTAATTTTGTAGCAATCATTTTGCGTTGACGTTTATAAAGCCACGTGTGATGTAATTTTTGGACATGTCAATAACGAGTGTAGCAGACTTCTTCTTTAAATTTTCCATCGATATTTGTAACTACTTTACTGGTAGATGTACAGTTTTTTTTCAATCTTACATGTTTCTACATTTTTCGTAATATAACATCATTTTTTTAAAAACCAAATTCACATTCATCAAGGCTGCAAGCAATCACTATTGGAGTTATCAGAAAATAAAGACTAGAGTTGAATTGCAAAGAAGCACAAGGAGAAACCCATGTGTATAGTCAATAAAACTTAGCGTTCATCACTATATGCAGAAAATGATTTAAAATAGTTTTAAATAGATGCCACTCAATTATATGGGTTGCATACATGCAAATAGAAGACGGGGTGCAAGGTTGGCCAACAAAAAATTTCTGCTTACACCTTAAAGTCTTAGGAGACCTTCTACAAGACAATAGCTGCATAAAGTTAACATCTGCCCAAAATAAGTATTTTTTTCAAGACAGGCCTTTACACAACCAAGTGCCCCAAAAACATTATTTCCATTAACATTATGTAAAACATGTAAAAAACATTATTTTCTTTTTTTTAAAGAAATATTTAAGCTATACTTAGTAATGTAAACAATTTTACAAAACTGGATGCAAACAAAAGTTATTGGCAAATTCTACTAGATAGTCAACGTAAATTGTTTTATATTATCTAATTTTTAACATAAAAAATCACAAATTAGACTTTGGTTGTTTTTGGTCCCAAAAAAGCTCTTTTTGGGACAAAAAACTAGAATAATTAATTGCCAAAAAAAACTTAATAATAATAATATATTAAAGAACCAAATATGTAATTAATGAAATGATTGTCTAATAGAAGTACATAACAAAAAAAAAGTAACCTGAAGACTTAATTTGTCGCTTTCCAGTACCTCTTGATTTAGATTTACCGCATCGATTGCACTGCCAATATTGTTTTGAAATCATCTTTTTCTTAAATGTCACCTTGTGTCTTAATGTAAGTACTTACTTTCTCTTCTTCTCTTCTTTATTTTTTCAATACAAGTTGTATAACATAATGCTATTACACATTTTTTAATTCATTAATTTTGATAAACAACCACAATTACCAGACATTTATACCTTCACTGTTCAGTTATTTTAAAAAAACTTCAGAAGCCACTTACTTGTTTTATTTCCAAAATTAAGTAATTCCGTTCTGAATTCAATATTATGACTTTACTTTATGAGGTGTTTACGTAATTTTTTAATTTTATGTCCACTTGCCATTGAATTCATAAACAATTTCTACTTAAAACGACATTGTTAACTCCTTAAAACTTAATTGTGTGTCTTTTCAAATCTGATCAACGTGTAAAATTACTTTTACAGTTATCATAGCTACAAAAAAACGGAGAACTGTTCATTTTTTTATTGCTTGTGCTCCACGTGCTCATTTGTCTTAAACGCAAAACAACAAACAAACGTATGTTGTCCATTAAAAAAAATTTACGCGCCATATACCCAAAATGTTGTTTTCAAGTATTAGTTTCGTCGTCCGTATATCCGGACTCTGATATGCGGACAAGTCGTTCTTCATTAAAATTGCTTTTATCTACCATTTTTGATCTACAATTTTTTATTAAAAATTTCTGGTAAAGTCCGTTTATGTTTAAATCATAAAGATATTCTGAAATTTTTAGGCTCATTGGATTCAATTTTAGGAGTTATAGAGTTTTAAAAGTGTATTTAAATTTTGTTTATTTATTGCGGAATCAGCAAAACAAAAAAAATTTTATAATTTTTTAAAGTGTATTTGTTGATAAAAAAGATTATTTATTTCCTTTAAAGTTATTTGGAAACATTTATCTTTAAAATGCAGAAATTATTATTTTAACCATAGAGTTATCTTAAAACCTTATCATTTAAAAGTAATGATCGTGCATTTCCTGAAGTTTGAGTTTAATAAACTTATTTTAGTTGACAATTATAATTTTGCATTTTTAGGGAATAAACATCAAAAATTATTATATAAGTTGAAATTTCAAGTTCCCCAAGTACCTCAAAAATTATTATATAAGCTGAAATACCAAATTCTCCTGTTGCAGAATGTTATTTTAGAAAAAGAGAAATCTTTTTCAAAAATAACATACTATAACAGAAGAAATACTGCATAAATAACAGAAATTGAGAATAATTTAATATTTTTAACATGTTAAATATAATGGTGTAAAAATATCCATAAGAAAATAAATTAAACAGAATACAAGGTTTAATTTTAAATTGATTTAAATATAAATATTGAGTGGTATAATACCAATTTAAAAAAATTGTAAAAAGGTTTCATAATTTAAAAATGCGGCATTTCATTTTATTACTTAACTACTTAGAATTACTTAATCAACAACATCTTTAAGTAATGGAATTATTAATTGTTACACACAAATGAGGTCTTTCAACTAAGTTGTTAAAATATGTTGCTAAAAACCATATTAAGCATATTTAAAGACTTTGACTAACTAATTAAGGTTCGGAGTATTTTTGTAATAGAAAAAAATAAATACAATAACAATAATATTGTATTGTAATACTGGAGATGTAATTAAACATTATTTATTTTTATTGTATTGCTGCGATTATAAACGGTTACGATAACTATTGTTACGTTTTTTTTTTCTAACAATACATTGAAGTTTTAAAACTATTGTATTGTATTGCTGTGATGTAAAACAAGTACAATAACTTTGGTATTATATTGCTGGGATGAAAAACAATTGAAGTAAGTATTGAGGTGTATTGTATTCTATTTTAAAGTCTAATATCTATGTATTTAGATTCTTTTTCCGCGCATTTATTATTACTTAAGCATAGAAGTGCCCGAGATGCTTGTTTTTAGCAGTCATTAACATTTATAAATTTTAGAAGTGAAGTTAAGCCAGGAAAACCAGAGAAGTATATATATTACGTATACCTAATAAACATTATGTTCAGAGGCGCTCGTGGCACTTATTTCTAGCAACCATTTACATATATAAATTTTATTTATTTTGAGTTTAACAATATAATTATTTCAATAATAGTTTATTTAGAATTAACGTTAGTGATATTCATTCAAAATCAAAAAATTATATAATTTATCATATTTTTGTAACTAAATAATTATGTACTTTGTGAAGTGAAATCTTTGATTTTTTTATAAATTTGTCTAAACTGAAAAGTTTACCCGGATAATTACGTCTAAACTAACTGATTAACTACATAAAACGCGAGAAAGATATCACTAATGAATCTATAATTGCTAAAACATTTAATGAGGTGTTTGTCAACGCAGGTTTAAATTTAGAATCAAAATTAAAACACAGTAAATTTAACAAGGTAAGTTTTTCAAGTTTAACAATACTTGACTCCTACAAATTAATAATTTAAAATGTAGAGTTAACTGAAAAAAAAACTGTAAAAAGAAAAAGAATTGCAAGGCAATACCAGTTTTTAAATCTGGAGATGATACTAACTATAGACCTATTTCCATACTTCCTTGCTTCTCGAAAATGCTAGA